CACTAATAAATACATATTGTCAATGATTTCTGCTGGATTTGGGTTCAGTGAGGGTTGTGAAGTGGCTCTATATGCAAGTAGATACATGCATATGGGGCCCTTCTGTTGGGGGTGGGGGAATCCTGGCCGCATCATACACATAGGAGCACTTCACAGAACTGACACAATTACAGTGGGGTGGTGGTAGTTAGGGATATACACAATAGGGTTTGTGTGGACCTCTCAGTTAATTGCCTGTTTGTCAGTCAATGGCTAAGCCAATTCTTTCAGCAACATATATTTCCATGGGAGTATATTATAGAGCAGTGTTTTGTAATCTGGTGCTCTCCAGATGTTTTGGACTACAACTCCCATAAGACCAAACCAGAATGGCTGTGCTGACTGGAGCTGAAGACTTAAAAATAGAAATTGTAAGAGTTCCATTTCAATTGTGTAACCCTGAAGACAACAACGAAGTATTGAGCATAGCTGTCAACTTACAGATTTGAAAATAAGGGACCAGCAGCCAAAATAAGGGACCTGCAGCCTCAGCTGTTCCAGGCACTCCAGTCTTTCTGTCCTCCTGCATTCTGGTCAAACTCATGCTGGTAGCTTCGAGAACACTGTCCAACCAACTTTGTAACCAGAGGTTCAACTGAATAGAATCTGAATCACATGCACCACAAGGCCTATGCAGCCTCAACTTAAGATGGCTCCCCGGCCTGGCTTTGCACTGCAAAGTTTGCAGCAGCATGTGCAACAAAATGGTGTCCAGCATTCAAAAGCCCCCTCAGCTTGCATTAACTAGCCACACACAAGGCATGCAAGCTCCACCCCCCAGTCGTTCTTAGACTTCTTATTGGGTGAGCAACACAGCCAAGCAACACAGTTGGAGCCTTCCTCCTCCCTGGCCGGCAGGGAGGGAGGGAGAGGAGCTGCTTCCTTTGAAATTTAAGGGACATCATTTAAGGGACATCCATCAATAAGGGACAGCAGTGGGACATGGCGCTGGAATAAGGGACTGTCCCTTCAAATAAGGGACACTTGACAGCTATGGTATTGAGTAGATGAGTTTAATATAATATATAATAAGTGCACCCTGAGAATCTTGTTGAAGAGGATTAGTCTTCAGGAGGGAAGAGGACCCTGATCTCTTCCCCTCTCTTACCTCAGCACATAATGATCAGCTACAGACCACTAATGAAGTTTATGAGGATTATTGCCTATAATCCCTAGTGTAAAATTAGTTTGGTAAGCAGTTATCAATTTCCTTTGGAAAAGACCCATAGCTTTGTGGTAAAGTCTCACACACTAAAGGTTGGTTTCTCCAGACAGGGATGGTGGGGGAAAACCTCTCTCCTGAAACCACAGAGATTTACTGCCCATCAGTGCAGGCATGAACAAGCTAGGTGGATCTTTGGTCTGACTTGCTATAAGGCCAGGGTTCCAAAACTGTGGGTTTCATGGTTTGCCTGTTAAGAACAGTGGCTGTCAACAGTGGGCTCAGCATATTAAATGTTCATGTTGATTTTTTCAGTGCTCCTTTTAATTTTTATTGCTTCTTTTATTTCTTGTGTGATATTTATTCATGATTGTGTTCAATATTGTATTTTATGGAATTCAAATTGTAAAGCAAAAAAATACAATATTAAAAAATAAAAGAAGCACTAAATATATAATTAAAAACCATACAGCATTTACCCATTACAATTGCTACAACAGGCAGAAAAATCATTAAGTCTTGGCCCTCCAAGACTCTTGACAATTTTCAAGTGGTCCATGGTGGATGGGAGTTTGGGAACCACTGGCGTAAGTTATCTTCCTATAATGTTCCTGTCAGGGAACTGACATCGGAGCCAGAGGCGGAGGCAAGGCTCCCGAGCGATGCTGGAGAAGGGCCCAGCAGGGAGAGAGGCAGCTCATCAGCTGGGGAAGGAAATCAGCGTAACACCAGGGATAAAGGGGGGCAGATGGGGGAATCGGCGAGGGGGCTCCAGGACTCCTCGCCAGAGACCAGCGGGGAGAGCACGGGTCCTCCGCTACCCACACCCTCCTGCGCAGAAGACTTCCGCGCAGGGAGAGTAGGAGGAGACTTGGCGTCAAACAGCTTTTATGCTGGAAAAGGTTTAAGAAACGCCCACTGACGGATTCTGCTAGCGACTGAACAGCCACGAAGTGAAGGGCTGTCCAGACAGAAAAGGTTTAACCAGGCAACCTAGCCAGGAGTGGCGGCAACTTACGCACGAGCAACCCCTATAAGTATTACAGTTCCTAATTGTCTAGCTAGCTTTTCATAGCAGGATGTTGCATTGACATGAAACTACAAATTGGTGCTGATATGGTATTCCTTGTATATAATTTGGTAGGGGGAAAAACCCAGTATGCATCTGCACAAGGGGTTTATTTTGCTCATATGGGATCTGTTTTGACTCAAGACTGCAATTATCCCTTGCTTATTTGGATGACAGCATTGGGAATGGAAGCAGAAGATAAAGACATTTTCCAGAGGAAGGTAGTCTCTTGCTGCAAAGGCAAAGAGTTTTGTGGTACTGCAACAAATTGATTATGGCATTAAGCTTTTGTGGGCTGCAGTCCACTTTATCAGATGCATGAAGTGGCCTCCTCAGTTGCAGGTGTGTGTGAATCTTCTGCTGAAAATAGCCTCATCCCACCAAAGCTGGCATTTACCCTCCCTGGTAAAACTTATGGACATATAGAGCTATTCTGGGAACTGTTGGGAGGATCAAGAGAAAAAACCATGAAGTTCCAAGAATCATATGTGGTTTTCCCTTGTCTGTTGGAGAAGTATGCTGAAAGAGCCACAAATTATTATTCCAAAACCAAAGTGGGATTGCAAGTTACATTACGGGCTTCCACAAAATAATATACAATTCCATCTTAGTGCTTGTCAGAAAGCATACACACATACAAAATGGTTTCTAAAATGTTTTTAAATACCTTGCTCAGATTTTGGTTGGGTAACAGGCAATTTCATACACAATTGCGTATTATAAGGTATTGGCCAAAATCCAAAGATTCACAAAACAAGTTCTGCATGCCCTTATGGTTTCTTGAACAAGCTCTATGACATAAAGCAAACTGCTTTTGAAACTTTCAAAAGTTGCCGTTCAAAGGGGATTGGGGTATCCATAATTCTACTGGGCATGACCTAGCTGACCTCAAGCAACTCTTTGGATCTCTGCCATTGATTATAATCTAGATGGAGTTACTGTAGGTATAACTAAAACCACTGAGGCCAATGCACTTAGTGAGCTGAATTCTGTGCAGTGATTGTGATGACTGAATATCTATCAACAGTCATAAAACCCTCATTTCTTGCAAACCATGGGAAATGTGCTTTTGTAAGAAAATGTCTTCATACAACCTGTATATTTTATGTACAAACAAGGTTTTGAGGGTATGTTTGTGGCTATATTCTGTTTCAATTTTAAACTGAGTGCAGCTGCAGTAAATTTAGTTGTGTTAGAATATGCAGTGGGCCTCTTTCCTTCTAAAGAAATGTACTGCCTGATCCTAGCCATATTTAGTTGGAAGCAACTTGTATTAATTTCAGCAACATTTAAATCCCAATTAAGTACAGTCAGAACTGTAGCCTTAATTTTACATTTGGACAGAGTTCTTTTTGGAGTAGCTTTATGGCAAAACAGATCGTGACCAACGTCATGCCACCTGCATAAACAACTTTCTCCGTACAGCTTGCCCTGAAAGATCTTTCCCAGGCTCCACAGAGGAGAACAATGTTGCTGTTTCCTTTCCAGTACAATAGAAGCCAATGCAGAACCAAGGAGTAAAACTCAAGGTGATAGTTTAAGCTGGACACTTATTACAAAGTCTTGGAAAGAACATTTTTTTGCAGAAAACAAGTTTGTGGATATGCATGTAATATTGGCAAGATAATAATATAGAAATCCCAGCACTGCTGTTTCTTCTTCAAATTGTATCAACAATTACACAGAACGCAGAAACGAACAATTGCCATACAGTAATACTTAAACAACAGCCAGAACTTCCTGTCTTACATTGTCTTGCAGTTACTTCCTACCAAAATAGAACTAAGCAATGCCATTGTTCCAAAAATGACAAACCCTCAACTGTTTGAGAAGACCTAAATCTTTTTTTGTTTAGTGTAAATTTCTTCCTCTACAGTAGTCACCAAATTTCCCTCATCCATTATCCCACCACTGAAGCTGCCAATTATTCCAATAGTTTAGAACAAGTATATAAGTAGCAGTTAATATGTTTCATACTAAGTTCTAGTGCTTTAAAAATAAGAAAAGAAGTAGTTTTTGGTTTAATATAATGTACTAATGGCTTGTATCAAATGTAGGACTAAATCACTCATTTTGTCACTCATTTCTACTAGCACAATGGAACTTTCCCCATCTTTCCTCTTCTCCCTCCCCCCTCTAAATCTGTTCTGGGGTTTCTCCCAACCGTTTGGAGCATATTTGGGGAGGGGAAAAGTTCCTTTGTGCAAGCATAAATCATCATAGAACAAGGGCAGTGGATGGCACCTGTATACAGGTAACTCTCAGCTTACACGGGTTATTTTCTGGGTATAATGCCTAAAGCCATGATTGTGTATAGTTAAAACACACTGGGTTCAATGGTGGGTGAGATTACCAGAGTATTTTTTCCTGGATGCCTACCTCCTTTCTGCTCCCTATTTAATGTTTCAAAAAACTTTTTTGCCAAGCACGTAAAGCTGAATGTACACAAGTTACATGTACATAAGGCGCGAGCTACCTGTATTTTAGAAATTGGACCTACAACAAAATGTTGTGCTGTGCCTCCTATGTGCTGCGACACTCATGTTCTCCATACCCTGGTCTTCTTTCTACATTGCTCCTCCTTACCCCACCTTCTCCTGCCTCTTTGCTTCCTCTTCCCACATAAACAACTGTTTTCTCATTAATTGTTTGCAAAGTGTTTCATAGAATCATAGACTTGGAAGGGACCACGAGCGTCATCTAGTCCAACCCCTGCCATGCAGGAACCTTTTATCCAATGTGGGGCTTGAACCCACCACCCTGGACGTCTCATGCTTTACCGACTGAGCTATGTTGAGCAGGATATGCATGCTGCACGACATGAATAACTAACTCACTTCCACATTTGCACTGAGCCACTTTCCTCTCAAATGTTGCTCTACTTCTGTATTCTTGTATTAAGACAGCTCCTTGTAGGCCTTGCACATCTATTTTGAGTTCTGAGTAGGTAACTCCTTGGCCCCATTGGGCAAGGCAGGTTCTTCTTCTACTGTAAGCTATTTGTTCATGCCTAAATCAGTTTCAGATCTCTTTGAGCCCTGGGAGCAATTTGATCCAAGTGTGTTTTGTGGTCACTGACCAGAGCTAAAAAAGTGATGCCATCCTCTTCAGTGTTGGTGCTTGGATTGGGGTCAAAACACCTGATATAAGTGCTTATTTATGATTCTTAAAAAATCCCAATAGGGTGTTTTTTTACATATATTAAAGGACTGTATTGGGCAAAATAAGCTGGGCTCCTGAGAACGTTGGTAAGATCATTTACCCCAAACCTCTGCAGCTATTGTTGTTGCACTTGGAACCATTAATAATAAGTGGGGAAAGTTGTGTTTCTGATTACGTTTCATCGTATGCCAAGGCAGCTGCTGGTGCGGTAGCAATCTGCAGCAAATTAGATGGCAGTTAAAGTGAGATTTTCCACAATCAAGAACAAAGCAGGGCCAGTTAGTATAAGGACAGCTTGTTCTTGTTGCTAATGTGCTTAAAAACTTGCTGTGCATAATTTGAAACAGCTCCTGTGCAAGGATGCTGACTTTGGTTTCTGTGGTCTAGAGCTAAATCAAAACCAAATGGAGGAGGTTGAAGAAGAAGATGACAAATTAGATACTGACATCTTCTGCTCTGGCTACAGGGATTATTCTTCTTTTTCATTCTGACTATTGATTTAAAAGTTAATTTCCCACAATATTAAAATACTTAATGGAAGACAGATGACTGAAACCTGGAATCCCCAGCCAGCTAGTTGCTGAAGGAAAGCTCAGACAAACTACCCTGTACATCCAATACAAATTATTTAAAGATGTAATAAACTGTTATGGAAAAAGTTGTTGAGCGCCTCCTTAATGCTTGGTTGAATGAAACACTGAGAGCTTCAAGCGAAACATTTCTCCATCCACCAACTGGACAAAATGAAAGCAATATGTAGCCCAAAGACTGGCACTCTTTGACCTGATACTTTTCTCACTCAGCAAGGCAGTAGAGTCAGTGTCAATGGCGCGGAAGCATGGCTCTTTTCTGCAGGACCTACAGCTCTGTGCTGTCCTTATCTTCAAAGGTATAAGAGGAGAGATGGAGAACCTGTGGTCCTCCAGATGTTGTTGGACTTCACCTCTCATCAGCCCTGGCCGCCATAGTCAATGGTCAGGAAAAATGGAAGTTGCAGTTCAACATATTCTGCATCTTGTGTGTACAGAAAGACCACACAAACAAATGCACACAAACAGTCCTTCAGATGCAAACCGCAGCTGTTGTGAGCCAATTTTCTATTATACACTCCCATACCACCATGTTACTAGACTGCTGATTGTATAAGAGTCTTATTACTGTCGTTGCATATATTGGTAATAACTTCTTGGGTCGATGGTTGTGTTTGAGTCTACGAAGGACTGCCTTTTAAGCTGGTGTCTGGAGACTTCCGGGACAGCGCCATCGGCAATGGCGGAGTTCCTCTGACAGAGAGGAACCCGCTCCGTGAAAATCGGGTCTTGCCGCCGCGGCGAAGGCGGAGACCCTTTAAAAATCCCAGGCGGAGGAAGCCTGGGAACGTGGGATTCGGCTGACACCAGGAGCGCCTCCCCTACTCGCAGGGAAACCTTTTTCGGGGGTCCGAAGCGACGTGGGGTGAGTGGCGTTTTGAATCAACCGCTACTTTTACGGAGTGAAGCCGCACAGCCGTTGCCGGAGAGCGCTGACCTTTTCCTGTGGATATTTGGACTCTAAACAAGTACCCGTGAGTAGGACGGAAAATTGGATTAAGTATTAAGAAATATCTTAATTTGGCACCGAAACGGGAAGGTTCTAAACAGGAAGTCCGCCTCCCGTTTTTTGTAAATAGATTGAAGCAAAAACTTTGTAAGCTAAAGTCTGGAAAGTCGTATATAAAGTTCTAAATTTCCTTCATTCATCACCACCAAAACCCCTCTTGGAAGCAGGAGAAAAGAGGGGGATTTTTGACTGTTTAAGCCTGCAGGAGAGAGAGTAAAGAAAGATAAACGGGGTGTCAGAGACAGAAATTTATGGGGAAAGTTCATCGACCGCGAACTGAACGTCTTTTGACAGATAGTTAAAAAAAAGAGAGAGAAATATATTGATTCCAATGTTGCTTCTTGCAATCAAAAGAAACAAAGTATTTGAAAAGTGAAAGTAATTTTTCCTTGTTGGTCCTGTTTTTAAAAGATGGATACAAATAGAAATTGTCTCCTCTAGAGGGAGCTTGTTAATTTGTTGCCGGAGCTGATCTGGGGACCTCACAGCTGTATGATTAGGATCGTGAGACCAGACTCTAACCTTGGGGGGAAAAAATGTGTTTACAAGAAGTCTTGGTGCTTGCTTTTTGCAAGACAAGTGCTTTGCTGGAGCAGATGCATGAGAAGATGGATTTGATGACTGTTGCAGTTAAAAACTTTGGACAAACGGTGAATACCCATATAGAAACCATTCAGGAACCAGCCCAGGAATCTGTTTTGATAGGGCAAGCGCAAGGGCAGAAGAAAATGGAGGAGGTTGTTGTTGAACCTCAAATAACACAAATGGAGAGACCCGAGGCCTTGCAGGAGTATAAGCCGTTGTTCTTGAAGCTCGAATCTGGAGTGGACCGGGGGGGTCTGGAGTTGTGAGGGCTCTTAACTTTGGAAAGACTTTGAAACATGCTTTTAACTACTTTCTGGATTACAGTGTTGACTGTGGGGAATGGGACTGTGGGGAATGGGCTGATCTGCTGAGGAGAGATGGAGATACTTTTGGATTGGAGTCCTCCCGAGACCTACCCCCCAATGAGAAAGGAAAGAAAATAAGAAAAAGATCAACAAAAGATAAAGTAAAGGGCAGGTATAAACAAGAAGAAGACCTGCAGAAGGGACATGGAAAAGATTTAAGAGCCTCGGACATAAGGGCACCAGGTTGATGGATTAGATAGACAAGAAAGGACTGACAAAACCCGAGACCAGGAAGAAGAGACGAGGGATGAAGATTGGAAGAAAGTTTCAAAATTTATTTAGAAAAGTATTGTAAAATTAATGAGTATTAGAAAAATGTTGGAATGAAATTATTTGGCTTCAGCAGAAATGTCAAAAAGAATTATGAAAGAATATGTTATGGTTAAAAAAGTTTGGTATATATAAGTTTTAAGTTTTAGGGTTTTTTAGGTAAGATAAGGTTAAAATAGATTAAGGTAATTTAAATGACAGAATATTGTGAAAGATGGAAAGGATTTGCTGAGATAATTAACAACTAGAATACAAAAAAAGGAGGTGTGAGGAGGTCGTTGAAATAAGTTAATGAAAGTTAAGGATTTGGGAATATTAGATTTGTTTTTTAATTGTTTGTTTATTTTTGTTTTTTGATTTAGATGTATTGTGTGTTTTGTTACTTGTTTTTTACTTTGGTTTTTATTGATCTGTATTGTTTAATTGTTATGTTTATCTACTTCTTTCTTTCTTTTTCTTCTTCTCTTGTCTTTTCTTTCTTTTTTCTTTGTAATTTTAAAATTCTCAATAAACATCATTTTTTTAAAAAAAAATTAGATCTCATCTGAATGCACCAGGTTAGCAGTTTGACCCTCAAAATATAAGAGTTGATTTTCAGCTTATCAGTCTTGTACACACAGGTTTAAAACTGTAGTTTGCATGCAAAAACAATATTGCCCAACTCATGATACAGTACTCCAATAAGCTTCATTGCTCAAAGGCAGCCTTTGCTTTTCTCATCCTGATGCCTACCAGATATTTTGGCCTACGATTCCCATTGGCTCCAGCCAGCATGACCAGGAACCTCAATGGTCATCTACCAAGGCAGGATATCCACTGCTGCAGCATCCCTGTTAGGTGTCTAGCCACCCCCTATGTAAAACCACTAATGAATGGAAGTCCACTGTCTTCTAAAGCACTCTGCTGCTCCACTCTCAAGCAGTTTGAAACATTTTTTCATATTTCTTGTAATTTGAACCACTGGCTCTGGTCCTACCTCTGGAGAAACAGGAAACACCCCCTCCCCACCCACATCTATGTGACAACTTTTCAAATATTTGAAGATGGCTAGTGTATCACCTTTTACTCATTTGCTCTTCAGGCTTAAACATGCCAAACTCCCTCCTCTCACAAGAAAGTTCACAAGAACTTCCTTGTCACTCTCTTATGGACACACCCCAATTTGCCAATATCTTTCTTAAGGTGAACGCAGCACTCAAGCCAAGTTCTGAATAACGTAATCGAGCTTGAAGGCAGCACAGAAGACCATAATCCTTTTACTGATGCTTTTGCATTTTTGGTCACATGTTTCACTTCCCTTTTCAGAAATACACAAACCACCAACCACAAAATCTACACTTGCCTGATACAAATAACAATTTTGATGGGATCCGCTTCTTTTTTATGAAGAGGACCCAAGATCACAGATTTTTTCTCTCCTCAGTGAAATGCTGCCCCTTTTTGATATATTGGACAAACCTGACAGCATCAGCTATGGAATCTGTGGCACCTGTCATCTAGAATGAAGAAATTTCAATGCAAGTATTATTGGAAGTCTGATGTTTGAATTCTCGCTTTCCCTAAGACAAAGAACTTTCTCAAGTTTGGATAAGCTGAATGAAGTCAGAGACTTAACCACAGTATACACTTTCTTCTTCCCGTTGTGGATTATCTGTCCACAGCTGTGCCACAATAATGCATGTTTTTCACTCACAAGACCTTCAGAGCAACATAACATTTGCTGGTATCGTGTCTCAAGGGCCAAATTAGCAAAAATGAATTCTCTGAACCACCATTAATAATTCATAAATAAAATTTACGAGAGACTCGTTACAACAGGAGTGA